GCCTGGGGCGGTGTGGCCGGGCGGGCTGGCCGGGCTCTCGAGGGTGGAGTGGAACTGAAGAAGCTTCCCGTGGCGGTAGAGGTAGCTCTCCAGGACGAAGCTGTGGAGGTCCTCGCGGGGGGTCACCAAAGGGAGTATCCCGCCTCCGGCGGTGGATCGGCTCGAGACGCAAATCGTGTGCAGGGTCACCTTGGACGACAGGCCCCCTTTCGCCGAGGACGTCGGCGTCGACATCGGGTCGAAGTCCACCAGCGCGGGCTCCATCGCGTCCTTGGTGTCTGCCTGCTCAAACTGATGGAACTTGCGTAAAATGCTATTAAAGGAGAATATTGAATCCATAAACGCCTCATTTGGCGCGGATAACATTGAAGTCGATATCTGAGATGACTTGAACTGCAAATTAGGATTGGTGTTTGCGACAGGATCGCAATTCGCTAAAACTTTGGGAGTTGCTTCTGCGTTTAGTGCAGTAATTTCATATTCACAACCACTTTCGTAGGCTCTACATTCTGAATTTTCTACTACACTAATAAGTGAACATTTAGTGTTTTCGACAGGATTTTCGTTATGTTGCCCTTTTATCAGGGTGTTTATACTATTTTCTAGGCTATCTTCCTTCTTTGTTTCTGAACTCGGTTGAGTAGAAAAAGAAGGAAAGTTCACTTGGAATGGCAGGTTATTAACCAGTGATGAACTGTACTCATGTTGAACGTCGTTGTCCGCAACAACTATGCTGCTGATATCTGGCTCATTGAGCGTAGTAATTGAAACATCCGAGGACGGTATACCCGTGCTGCTCAAAATTGACGGTAGAGAGTGCACAGAGATCGAAACCAGTATGGGTGGTATCTCCTGTGATGAGGTCGATCCCTCTCGTTGGGATTGGTGCTGAGATGTAGATAGATTCCTCTCGTGCATCCTAAGTTTTACTTCCTCAGACTCCCTGGTCTGAAATGCGTTCTTCTTGTTGGTGTTGTTGTCTCTGGTGTAACTAGTTCGAACGCTACTGAATATTTTCACAGGTAGTCTGTCAGGTGGATTTATGGATTCCTTGTTAAATCGTGGTCTTTCCTCATTATACAACCGTACGGATATTGGATTTGTGGTGATATTCGCCTCCATAGATATCGGCATCTCCACCGGGAGCTCATGCTCAGAGGCATTAAGTAATGTCCCACTTTTTCCCCATATTTCTGCACCGGCTCGCGTTGTCTCCCCATCTCGGGAGGGCTCTGGGACGCCTTTCCGCGGTGGTCGTATAATAAGACTGTTAAGTGAAAAATTTTCTGTCGACAAATTCGCGGTGAGGTCATCCGTAGCCGAGATCGTCTTTCGCGAGGAGCCGCGTCGGCTGTTCGATGGGAGTCGTTCGGGGGTCTCCTCGCTGGGCTTTCTCAGGGTCTGTCCACCTCGCGTCGTTCGGACATAAAGGATGGTGCTGAGTGGCCTTGGTCGCTCGTGGTAGGGGGCCCCAGTGAGGCTCTGGCCGAACGTGGGCCGTTGCCGCAGCCTCAGAAAGGAGCCCTTGCTGGCGGTCGTCCCGAAGGAAAGGCGGGGCTCCTCGTAAAAAGGCAGGACGGCGTGGATTCCCTGCCCCACCGCGGCCTTCGCACTGCTGCTGCGGTGTCGAGGCCAGCCCTCCCCTCGCATGGTGAGGTCGAAATCCTCCCTCCGGACCACCGAGGACCCGAGCGAGGAGGAGACCTGGATAAACTCCACCGTGGGGGTGTCGTTCGGGGTCCCCTCCTGTTTCGAGCCGCTGCTGCGGTCCCCTTCGTCTCGAGATGGGAGGCTGCGGCTGTTGCGTCTAAGGCTTTCGTTTGGCAGGAAAGGCGGCCTTGATCCATTACAGAAATGGAGACATCTCGAATTGTGAAGGGGAATAATGTTGGAGGGTGTTTTTTTGGAGCCGTCCTTGACGATTTTCCCATTCAATGCGTATACCGATTCAATTGATACTTTTTGTGATATGGGCGGATAATTAAAGGATTGGACATTTTGAGGGAGGATGTTAATGCGACATTCGGGGGTTATCAAGGGGGCTTTGGATCCCTTTAACCAATCCTTGATTAGGTTCCTATGCAAAAGTTTTTTTCGAGATAAACTCACATCAGCCACTGTTGTAAGGACATCATGATCTTTACGGCTTGGGTTTTTCTGACTATTTGGCTGTTGACAAAGACGATGAGAGGCGTGGGAAATAGGCGGCGAGATGAGAGGTTCAACTTCCATGGATTGATCGCGCGGATGTCGTTGCGACTGCCTCTTGTGTTCGCCGTTAGACCCCCCTATGAAGTTTAAACCGACGGTTTTGGGCAAAGAGTCCTTTCGCTTGGGCTCAGAAACGGAAGAAGTTCGGGAGGCACCATCCTTGTGGATATTGTGTTGTCTCTTATTACCGCAGAAACCGACCGTGGTGGAGCATGAGACCTGGATAGGCTGCTTCTGTAAATGAAGGATGGATTGCGTCCCTTTCCCTATTTTTGGATCGAGCTCAGAAAAGTCTTTTCTGTAATTTTGACTGTCTACGGGTTCCGTAATGATCTGTACCGAACTTGCAAAAGTGCCATCCACTTTATCTATTTTTTTTTCCGTTGTGGTAGAGCGATTGAGTTTTCGATCCTGGAATGGAGCTTTGTGGATGTCATACTTTCGTATAGGTTTCTTCGACATATGCGAAATGGACGATTTTCGGGGAATTGTTGCCTCTAAAGTATTACCAGTAATGGTTACTTGTTCTAACGACGGTACAAAGGGATACATATGCGCCCTGATAGCACAGAAATGTATTAAATAGATCTCTGAGTAAGGTGTTTTTATTAATTTTAGAATTAATAATTCTTTTTCGTATTTATATGAGGGTAACCTTTGGCCTTCTGTAAAAATTTAGCTAGTACTAATATTAATATTATGGAAGTCCGATAGAGACTCCAGACCTGGCACGCACCACAGTAAAATACTAGCTACGCAAAAACAATGCAAAATAAATAAGCAATAACACTAAAATAGAAAATTATATATATATATATGTTTATAGTAAAATAAATCGTTTTATTTTTAAAGAGAAATTTCAACTTTTATTGCCGTTTCTATTACTGTTCACTCTTTATAAAGTGGAATTCTTATCCTTTGTATGAACTTTCAAAAAATGTAGAACTTCTTAACCGTTTTTTCCCCCTACACCGATTGTTTATTATTATTTTGTGCTGGAGATGTAAGACGGAAAAAGAAAAGCTAAAAGAAAAAAAAACGATATTCCCTCGATGTATAAGGAAATATGTAAAAGGCACCAACTTAAGCTGTCTTTACTTCTAATAATATAAATATATATATATATATATTTATTTATAGGCAATAATAGTATTCAGCGAATTACTATTCGATTGCCTTAGTATAAAAATTAAGAAGTGAGAAAAAAAGATTGGAAAGTAGGAAGCTTATAGAACAGGAAAGAGGGAAAAAAGAAACCCTTTTCAAATATATATATAATGTATTTGATTTTCAATATATATATTTAGAAAATAATCTGAAGGCAAGCAATAGAAGAAGCGTTTCGTGTTCTATGTGATATGAAAAATCATATATATATATATAGGCGCCTTTTGTTATGGTATTCTTTGTAAATCTTCACCACCGTCGTTGAAGCTAAAGAGTAGACACTCTATTGTTATTTATTTATAACCCTAATATAGATGAAAATAAAAATAATAAATTTTAGCCTGTTAAATTAGCTAATTCCAAAGTATTAAAAAAAAAAAGACAAAACAGTACCTAACACCTTTGAAAGGGAAAAAAACAAATATTAACGTTGTGTGAAAAGTATTTTGTCGTTTAGTCGCCGCGGTGGAGAGAGTAGAATGCTTGGAAGATACTATTACCGCAGCCTCTTTCTCATACAGTATAAATTGGCGCACCAAAACAAACTATAACAAAAGAAAAAATACTTGTGTTTATTGATTATCTAAAGGCGAAACTATCAGGTAAAAAACACAAAATAGTGTACCTACCAGTAAGTCACCCTATAGTAAAAGAACCAGAAAATGAGTGAAACAAAGAGAAATCAAAGATTAAATAGGCGAAAAACATATAACAAAAAGAATAGAAGTGGATGATGAAGATAGGATCTTTCATGGGTGGGAAAAGCAGCCAGTCAGGTGATCTTTTCGTGAATAGTGAACACAAAAGCAACTCTCGTATAGGACTATATGAAACGAAACATTTCATAGTAGTTTTAGCGATATTTTTCACCTTTTTTCGCATTGCTGCTGTGAATGCGCAAAACGATAGAAACTACAAGATGGAAAGACGCGGTTTGGAGTTTATATATATATATATATCGCGCTCTCTCTATATATACCATTAAACAAACAAACTAGAGCGTAGGAAAGTCATACAAATCCATAACCAAGCGTCTATCCAATCTACATCACCCACCACCCTACTATTAATTCGACATTTCTGGTGGAGGAGGTGGACGCAGCGATCTATCCTCCTCTCGCAATTCGATATTATATTGGCTTACCGATTGCTGTCTTTTCCAGTGGTTCTTACCGCTAGCCGGTCCAAAAGTCTGTTTGTGTAGGTGCTCTTTCCCGGGTTGCACGTCTGTGAAGTTCTGGAATTGCATCCGAGAAACCTCCGGGTCGTAGATCTCCTCCATGTACGTTTTCACGTCCTGCCCGGTATTCTTTGGCATTGTCATGGTATCAAATTCGTAGGTTTGTGTACGTGTGAAGTTGTGGTGCTTTTCGATAACATAAATTGCCCGTCGGCACTCCTCCACACACTCGTCAATCAAAAGTTTCTCAGTGGCATTCGCGCGCCGGCGAAAGGCAAAGCGCGCGTGGGCAATCAGACTCCGCCTGCGCACACTCTTAAAATTCACCAGCCCTTTCAGTACGTTCCGATAGAGGAGTAAAACAAGGGATTTGTGCTCCGGCGTCGGTTCAAATTCCCAGTCGGCGTGCGGGCGATTGGGGTTCAGCGGCTCGCGCGGCATATTCCACTCGTCATAGTGCTCGTTGTGCGTCTCTTGGGTTTTCACTCCGAATTCAGCCTGGCGCCGGGCTCGCTCCCGGGCCTCGATCTCATATATCAGAGGAAGCCGATTTCCATCCTTGAGGTTGGGCCGATGCTGGAGAAAAAATTCATCGATCGAGTTCTCCTTCATGGCGCTCTGTATGTTGGCCTCAAAGCCCCCACTTGGGTGCCGATTCCCGGCGTTGTCGGGATCCCCTTCCATGTGAAATTCGCCCGTGGCGGTGTTTTCCCCCAGCCCGGCGGCGGCATTCTGGATGAACAGCTGCGCAGCCGTGTAGCGCCGCTGGGCGGCCGCGAGGTCCTTTTCGCGGCGCCGCCGCCCCCCCCACCACGACCGCTTTGCCCCGAATAGAAGCAGTGGCCCAGTCGCCCGCAGTGAAGAGGCGTGCAGGAAGCTACCACAGCGCATGCCAATTCGTCGCTGGGTGAATCGGTTTCTTAGATCGTCCGGTTTCCCTCTCCCTTATATCGGTCTTTCTCTTTATAGATAGATCGGTAAGTATGTCTATCCTTTATGAGAAAATATGAAACCACAAACTCGGGCCCCCTCACGAAAATAATCGATAATGAGTGATAAGCATGATATATTCAACAGTTATCAGGTGAAGCAAACGCAACACATAAACTGAATAGAAGCCGCTATCCAGACATGGAGAAAAGAAGACGTCATGAACGTTCTAGAAAGATTTTTGCTATAAAGGAGTTGATTAGTTAAACGAATGGACACTATTCATGCGGTTAAAGTCTTTCCGCTAGGAACGACAAATAACGGCATAAGCAAATTAATCCCAGCATTGTTTTTGGATTATCAATTTTGTAAAATAAAAGGATTTACGCCTCTCCTTGTCTTTTTCACACAACATCTAAATATGTTCTACGACTATTGTTGTGTTCATTTTTTAACCATGAAGGCTTTCTGTTCATTAGAACTTTTTTTCCTCATTATTATCTCCCCTCCTCCCTATCCACATTGATATTTCTTACAAATCTAAAACGTTGCTGAAAAAGGAACTCATCATGTCAAAGACAATTTCGTTCTCCTGGACTAGAAAGTACTGCATTGCGACCGTCGCAGTCGGTCGCTTTAGAGGGTTTACTGCCAAAAGTGACAGCACGAAGCTGGCAAAGGCGAGCGAGTATTTACGCTCAATAATGTCATTCATGATCATCGAGGCGAACCCCTCATGGCTCGAATCCCGGTACATAATCCGTGCGGTCCGCACCGTCAGACACCCCGTCGCCAGCGCGTAGAGCAGACAGCCGAAGCTCCAGATGTCGTTTGTGGTGCTCGTCTCCCCGCACCAGGCCTCAGGTGCGATATACGGCTGGGTGCCGACGCCGAACTCGGCAGCCCGGCGGTTCCCCTCCTGCGTCGCCAGTCCGAAGTCCGTCAGCGCGATTGGGATGATGCGATTTCGAATCCGCGCGGTATCCTCCGGTCGGAGGGGGTCCGCTGGGGTTGTCGACCCTACCAGGCCCTTCGCGGGCGAGACGATCAGGATGTTCTCCGGCTTGAGGTCGCGGTGGACGACCGGGGGGCTGCGGGTGTGGAGGTGGGACAGCGCGGCGGCGACCTGGTAGGCCACGGACACCAGTTGGCACTCCGCGAGGGGGTTGCGGGCCGTGATATCGTTCG